GTGGCTGTGAACACTAAAAATACCAGTTAGCCACGTTTCTTCCTACCCTGAGAATTTCCGTTTCTTCTTGCACCTTACCCAGATGCAGTCTGCTGTCGAAGCTGAAAATGCTGCCTCTATCCCATCTCTTGTGATATTGGTTCAGCTTCATCATGATGCCTTTTGGTGGCGACTTCAGCTCCCCTTCCATAGTGTTACCTTAGTACCTTCCCAGCTCTTACAGCTGTTCTCCAAGCTACACAATCTGTACCCACCCTGAGCCAGAGGACCTACACCATCCTCTCCTTGTTCCTGTCCCAAGAGAAAGTGACACGAGCATTTAGAAAATTCACATCTAAAACACTTCTCTCAGTCTCATACATCCACCACTGGGAGATTTTCAATGGTGACTGGACTTCCCTAAAGCTGTCCGTAGCCCATCCAGTTCTCCATGCTGTCTTATTGTAGCTCCCAGCATTAATCACCATGAGTAGGGGCTTGCAAGATGTTTCCAGGTGCCTGTCTATGCATCAGCCAGGTGCATCTACAAGAAGACAGGACTCCCCTGTGTTCTGTGTTAACTCTGACGTCTCCTCTCAAAAGGTGGTTTCTTCCCCATAAGTATTTGACATACTCGCAAGTTGTGGGACACTCTGTGCCACAGGTACCTGAGATAGCAACAACCATAAACATACAAAGAGTATGGCCTTCTGGAGAACAAATGAAGCTTTTGTAGCAGAGGTATGAGGCTTAGGAAAGCCAATCTCCTCGTGCAAATCTAGAAACAAGAACAACTTTCTATGCAGCTTTGAGCTCTCCTACTTCTTGGCTAAGAAACAAGATAAGCAGGATAATAAAGATGATACCAGGGAATCAAAAGTTGCTCCAGCAAAGGCTGGCAGCATCACATTTAGGTCCATCTAAGGAATCCTGAAATGGGGGAAAAGCTAACACACAAAACAAGTCATGCACAACAGGGGACAAAGCATCTTCAGCAGAATGGTGCTGGGTGGAAAATATGGGACATTAACTGAACAGACAAGTCAGACTCTTTCAGTTCTGATATATGATCTAAAATAGATGGGATCCAGGAATGATTGAAGGGAGGGAGCAGGTTTGCTTAGTGCAGGGAAGAAGATGTGGGCTGCTTAGTGGTTAGGCTGACTGAACCCTCTCTAGAGCCAGTAAGAACATCCCACACCCATGTGGTGAGGTGCAAGGAGGCCGATGCTCATGCCCTCCCTGTGGGAAAATCTGGTAGTCTTCATCAAGAAACTCAGTGGGAGTGGGCCTGGTCTCAGCTATCTTGTTAGAGGGGGTCTCTGAGGATCAGAGCTCACTTTTCAGACGAATCCTAGGGAACTTCAGCAGGGAAGGGGCAGGGGAGGCCACTCTGCGTGCCACAGGATCAGAAACACATTCAGCAGGGAGCCAGGGCTCACTTCTGCAAAATGCCTGGCACCGTCTGTTGAAGTCCCTTGCCAAGAGGCTGATTGCACCCACAGGGGAGCACAAAGAACTGTGTCACTCACCCCAGCTCAAAGGCCAATCGTGTCCTTCAACACCTCATGGAGGCAGGATGCTGACAAGTGGGTCTGTCCCAGCCAGGGAAGAGCTCTGGCCTCAAGGGAGGGGTTTTGTGCCGCTCCCACTGCTGTTATAAAAGCTGTGCCTCTCTTCTTATAGACAAAACAGCCCAAATATTGGGAAGTGAGAAGCCAGAGCAATCACTCGCATGTTCTCAGACTGTCCAGGTAATTCTCCACCAACATGGACTTCTGTAGGGCGGGGGAGCTGAACCAGCCTACCTAAATATCCAATGGGAGGACCTCACTGCCAATCCTGACAGATGTGATCCTAAAGGGATGATCTTGGACAGATGTTCATAGAGATGATCAGGGAGCAGCCACATCTGAAGAGTCCTGAGATGGATGCTGACAGAGGGACTGCCCAAATGGAGCCTGCCAACGGGACCCCACTCAGTATGACACAGCTGTGCTTGGACTATGCTTGGGCAATACACTCCCATTAATGCATGGACACTGAGTGAGACAGGACACATTGAGGTATGGTCTAGTGCATTAAGGACCACATCAAGCTCAGCTGCAACATGCTCACAGGACAGATGTTCATAGAGATGATCAGGGAGCAGCCACATCTGAAGAGTCCTGAGATGGATGCTGACAGAGGGACTGCCCAAATGGAGCCTGCCATGGGACCCCACTCAGTATGACACAGCTGTACTTGGACAATACTTGGGCAATAAACACTCCCATTAATGCATGGACACTGAGTGAGACAGGACACGCTGAGGTATGCTCTAGTGCACTAAGGACCACATCAGGCTCAGCTGCAACATGCTCATGGGCAAGCACCATCAGCTGGAAAGAGTAACTGACCTGTTCCTTCAAAGTTCATTTCATCAACTCCTCAGCCGGGTTGAGAATAGGAAAAGGCCCCCTCCATCCATGGCCAAGCTGCCCCTGCAACCAAGACTTTGAGAAAGTTTAGGCCAAAGATTTTTTAATGAGCTGGGGTCTAAGGGTAAATGAGATACACACAGGATTCCTCCTGTGAGAGGAATACAGACCAGCAGGTGTTCAAAAGATCAAGCAGCCAAGACCTGGGTGTTCGCTAAACTAGTTCTTCTGATATTCCTTCCTGAGCAGGTGCTGTCTGGTGTCCTGGAAAAAGGATGAGGTTAGGGAAGCAACACAGCACTGAACAGTTCCTAGACACATAGTTCCCAGCAGTGTTCATGGTGGAGAAAAGCAGGCTAGATACTCCTCAAAGAATGGAGAGGAGCCCACAGAGAAGAGTTAAATAAATGGAAGGTCCACATCTCCTCAGATTCAGCATAAAAGGTGTGGGGTCACCACTGATGGACAGGCAGATGCAGGGGAGGTGGTCTGGCAAACACTGGGATCTTGGGCTGTGGTTCCCACACTGAGAAATTGCTGAAGCAAAGGATTAGTGGTGTGTGTCCTGCCAGTGAGATCTCACGGGCTTTTACACTGGTCAGGGAACAGAGCCTTCTGCTGGTGACACAAATCACCAGAGAACAGCATCTTGCACACACAGGAAGGGGAGATCTCAGTTTCACTGCAGATGAAGTTCTGACAAGCAGTGTGGGTCCAGTGTCCCCACGTGTCCTGGCACACGGGTGTCTGGCAGCACCAGCTGCTCCTCCGGGCAATGACTGCTCGAGGCAGAGATGTTGGTCCTTCTGTGCTTCATGCTTGAAATTTCTCAGTGCACATGCTCCTCGGTCCTGTGGGTTTCTTAAGCAGTACCGAGAGGCCAAGACATGCACGTCATGGATTAGGCACGGGGGAAGCCAGGCTTAGCCACCCACTCACAGAGCTCTCCATGGCAGAGAAAGGGCAGAAAAACATCACAAAGAAACGTATGGCAAAGGGGATTTAGATCAACCAACAGAGCCTCCAGGCAGCGTGGAAAGCAATCCCTGAGCTACAGCGTGTGAGGCAACATCACTAGAAAGAAAAAGCCCAGATTAAAAAAAATATGTCCTCCGGCTTCAGCTCTTCTTCTAGGAAGAAAACTAAATAGGGAAGAGAGAAAGAAAGAGAAAGAGTTGGGCAAGGCAGCGTGGAGGCGAGGCCCGTGGCGAAGGCTCAAGAATCATCTAGGTTGGAAAAGACCCTTGGGATCATCGAGTCCAACCATCTACCCTACTCTACAAAGTTCTCCCCTACACCATATCCCCCAACACCCCAACTAAACGACTCTTAAACTCATCCAAGGATGGTGACTCAACCACCTCCCTGGGCAGCCTATTCCAGCATCTGACCACTCTTTCTGTGAAGAATTTCATCCTAATGTCCAGTCTAAACCTACTCTGTTGCAGCTTGAATCCATTCCCTCTTGTTCTATCACTAATTACCTGTGAGAAGAGACCAGCACCAACCTCTCTACAATGTCCTTTCAAGTAGCTGTAGGGAGTGACAAGGTCACCCCTCAGTCTCCTCTTCCTCAAACTAAACATCTCGCAGGCAGAGGACTTCACCCTGCCCAGATGCCAACCCTCAGATGCACCACGGACAGAATCCCATAGACAGAAACGATGGCATCCCCCAGCCCCCATTTTATCTACCTTACCTACTCTTAGAGATGGATGCAAAAACTCTACCGCCATCTACTCTCTCCTCCCTTCAGGAACTTTTGTGAGAAGCATTTTTCTCTGGATTTGACTCACCTGTGTCCACTGCCCTGCAAAACACTGTCTCTCAGCAATCTGCTCACCCCTTCCTGCCACCCTGCTGGGCCCTGGCCTCCTGTCACATGCAGTGGCCACCCAGGCAAATGTCACAAGAGATAGATGGTGGGACAGGGGAACCGCCCACTACGGTTACGCCAGGGTTGGACATGGGGCTAGGGGCAGGTGAGAAGATGCTCTGGGATGCCCTGGTAGAAAGCTGTCATGGCAGAGGAGGCCAGACTCTGGGAGAGGAAGGTCTGCCAGATGCGAGCCATGTTTGGCTTCATTTTCCCCACGGCCTTCCCCAAGACCTTTCCAATCCCTCAGCCTCAGCATTGATAGTCATAGAGTCATAGTCATAGAATTGCCCAGGCCGGAAGGGACCTCCAAAGGTCATCTAGTCCGACCTCCCCGCAGTCAGCAGGGACACCCCCAACTAGACCAGGTTGCCCAGGGCCTTGTCGAGCCTCTCCTTGAACATCTCCAGGGAAGGGGCCTCAACCACCTCCCTGGGCAACCTGTTCCAGTGCTCCATCACCCTTACAGTGAAGAAGTGATGATGCCCCAAGGTTAAGAACGAGGTAGCCCACGCAGCACTGGTGCTACGCATGACCCATCGAGGACCGGTGGCTCCCAGAAGAGGGATCTCACCACTGTCCCATCTCCCAGCCCCATCCGGCACATCCACAGGACGAGACTGTCCCATCGACGTGGGCTTGGGGTTCCAGCAGAAGACATCCTCCCTCGCCTCGAGTCACACGGCGCCCACGGCAGCAGAGAGAGAGCCCACACCCGGCGAAGCTGTAGAAAAGGAATCTGTCCCGTTTAATGACCCCTCGCCCCCGTAACACAGACGTGAGCGCGCTGCCGACGAGCGGCAAAGCAAAGTGCACGGTGAGCGGGACTCGGCCCCCCGCCCCGGAGGAGGCCAAGGCTGGGGGCGGTTCGGGGTACCCGGCGTGGCACGGGGACTAGCCGGGCACCCGGCCAGCAGCAAGGACAGAGAGGGAGCCCCCAGGGCTCGGTCCAGTTGGCACCAGTGTCAGGTCCAGTTTGCAAGGAGGTACGGCTCTTGTTGGGCTCTGCGCGGTGCAGGGAGGGCAGGTCAAGCGTACCAGGACGGAGGCAGCTAGAGGAGGTGGATCTGAGGGGGGTTCCCCAGGGTTCTCCCCTGGAGAACGCCACCCATGGCAGGTTTGGAGCCTCTCTGCCCCAACCACGGTTTAACCAAAGCAGGGGAAGGGAATAGAGAAGGGGCTGGAGGCTGGCAAGGAAGGGCCCTCGGGCCTATCATCTAGCTATTCCCATTTGCAGGATATCCGGTGGCAGTGGGGTGCGGGATCTGCCAAGCACCCCAAAAGGGGAGGTGAGCCTGGGCGACAGACGTTTTACCGGTGGCTCCACGTCCCTGACAGTCTCTCCCAGGAGCGGCTCAGCCACCCCCTCCGTGCCAGGACGGGGGTCCGAGAGAGCGGGGCCTCCCCTCATTATCTGATGGAAGCATCACTGGGAGGGTCGCGGTCGGACTCTTCGCTCTCCTCGTTCGGGGCCGACTCGCTGTTGGAGGCCGGGGTGAAGGCAGGAGACTTTCTGCAGAGAATATCAAAAGGGCAGCGGTCAGAGGACCATCGAGGAGGAGGGAAAGGCCCTGGTTTGGTGTAGGCAGGGGACAGCAGAGCAAGGAGGAGAGAAGCTGAAGTGTCCCTCTCGCTCCCCTGGGGCACGTGTGGGTCCATGGGAATCCCTGGGTGTTGGGAAGGATGTCCCAGATGACACTCAGCTGAGAGGTCCAGAGCATGAAGCAATGCTGGGGGAGATGCCAGAGGAGTCTGCCCAGAGTGGGACGCTGCCAAGGCATGTGAGGCTAGGGGTCAATGAAAGCCCACCACAAAGGTCCCCAGCCTGGAGCCACTCTGGCTCCACATGCCTGTGGGGACCTATACGATGTTGCTGCACAATGGCAGCTCCACTCTCCATCAGGGGTGTTTGGCTTCACCCGTCAAAAATCACTCCTGTGTGCAGCTCACCTTCTGCAGAGGTAGCACCATGGCCTGCGTGGAGGCTGATCACCAGGAGTCCAACAGCCTCTGGGAACTGCCCTCTACTCCATGCCACACCAGGGCAGGGCAGGAGCACTACCCCGTGCTTCAGCTCCCACTCACCACTGCCCTGGCTCCAGTCCATGCCCAGAGCACGGGTGTCCCACCTCAAGCTCACCTGTCCCCAGACTGCGTGATGAGCCGCCGGCAAGTCTCCATCTGCACATCCAAGCCCCGCTTCATGCTGCACATTTCCATGTATTCGTGCAGGTGCCGGTTCATGTCGTTCTTGGCCGTGGCCAGCTCCAGCTGCACAAGGGAAACAGTGCAGAGATGAGCCCAAGGCTCAGAGCATGGTCATACCCAATGCTGCCACCCCCCAATGACCCCCACCAATGACCTGCACCAGCATGGTATCTCCCTTCCCCAGGGACCCACTCCCCCATTTCACCCCCCTTCCGTGCCATGTCCTCCCCACTTCCTCCTCCCACCTCTATTTGGTCGATGGTTTCCTGGTACTCCTTCTCACGGCTCTTGAACAGCGACTCTGTGTCCTTGATCACCTTCTCCAGGCTGTCGTCCTGCTGTTGGGGAGAGCAGACGGCACGTTTAGAAGCAGGTAAGATGTCCGATATGGGGAACCAAAGAGAGAAACCAGAGAAAGAACTGGCAGCACCAGGAAAAGAGGAAGAAACACGAGCAGTGTAGTCTGAGTGACAAATAAGGCACAAGTCAGTCCTTCCAACACGGGGTAGAGACCCAGGACTCACCCCACTGGGCAATGAGCACGTCAGCCCAGAACAAGCCCTGCAATGCACAGAAGCTTTGGAGAGTGCAGACTGTCCCCAAGTGCAACATGTCTCCAGGGGGATTGCTGAGGGCCAAAGATGCAGGATGGCAGGGCCTTTGGCCAGACATTGAGGCCTCTGTTTGGGCAATGTTGCTGCACAGTGGGCAGGTGGGCTGGAGAGCCCAAACAAGGGACCACCAGAGCCCAGCCCAGCCAGAGGAGGTCTTCTCTTGTGGGAGGGCTGCAGCTGGAAACGGCACCTCTCCACACATGTGCGGGCTGTGCCCTCCACATGCCTTTCAGGCTGGAGGACTTTGGTCTGTCTAACAAGGAGACCTTTGTGAGGATGTAGTAACATATTTACATAGGGGTGGCTGGAGGGAAGCATCTGTACAGGTCTGCAAGGGATGGAGAGGCTGAAGTCTGGTCGTTGAGGAAGCATCTTCCCAGGCTCCCAGGCCGAGTGTCCCAACCCAGGGCTGGATCCCCGAGGGGACCTGACACCACCTTTACCTCCCCCTGCACCTCCGCGGCTGCAATGGCGTATCCGGAGAAGTCCTCCCAGAGGAGCAGCGTTTCTTCTGTCTCCTCCCACGTGAGGCTGTCACAGTCATCCTCAAAGTCATACTCCCTCCTGGGGGCAAGGGAACAGCGTATCAGCACCCAGCAGCAAAAATCTGGGGGGCAGGGGGGGCTGTGCCAGTGCCGAAAGCCTTGCAGGGCTGCAGCTTTTGGAGGTTTGGTTGGGTGAGCTTGAGTGTGCCCAAACCCAACGGCTGGTGGGGAAGGGGCTGGGGAAAGAGTCAGGAGCCCCCGCGAATTCAGGCAGTGGCTCCCAAAAAGCAGAAAGGGGAGCTGGATCGACTCCCACCTACAACTCGGGTGGGCTCAGGCATCCCAGGGGGGCAGCCCCACCGTGCCACAGATGCCAGGGTGTAAGCACCCTGCAGCAGCAGCTCCCATCTCACCCCTTCCCCCGGGGAAGGAGAGCCCACCCTTGTCCTCCCCACCCCGGGTGCTGGCAGGGAGCCTGGTGCCGGCGGCAGAGGTGCGGAGCGGCCGCACTCACAGCTGGTTCAGCATCCTCTGCATTTCCTCATTGATACTCATGGCCGTGGTCTCGTCCTCCTCTTCCTCTTCAGGTTTTCGGGAGGCATCGCTCTCCGACAGCGAGGTATCTTCGTCGCTGACCTGCTTCCTCTCCCGCTTCCGCCCCACCGAGGCTGGGACCTTAACGGGAGACAAGTGCAGAGACTACAGAAACGAGGCCGGGTCCGAGGTGGGGAGCAGGGAGTTGGGAGGAGATGGAGGGGGAAGGAACGGTGGAGGGACAGAAAAGGTGGGGAAAAGAGAGAAAGAGAGAGAAAGAAAGGAAGGAAGGAAGAAAGCAAGAGAGAGAGAGAGAGAGAGAGATGGGCTCATTATGATCAGGTTAAAGATGGTGCAATGGATAAAACATGGTCTTAGCATTTTCTAAAATTAAAACTAAGCAACTAAAGATGGAGTCTGTGAATCTGATGAGGAAAAAAAAAAAACAACGCGGTTTTACTGCAGAAAAAACTCAAATCGCCCACCACCCCAGTCCAGAGACAGGGAAACACAGCGACAGAAACAGGAAAAAAGAGACAAGAGGCTGAAAAAGGTGAAATATGTCAATATTTACAGTCCGACCTTATTTATAGAAAGTTTAAAATTTATACACTTTCTCAACTGAATGGAACTAACCAGTTGCTTCTGTGGGGACAAAGAGAGCGAGACAGAAAGGCAGTGACATCCAGAAAGAGAAGAGAGACACAGAAAGAGAAGAGAGACAGAGAGAAGATGACGGAGAGGGGAAGGGGAAGGAGAGAGATGGAATTAGAGACAGACACTCAGGCAACTTGTCTCCCTCCTGCAGCTGCTCCCCTACCACTGTGGGGTCCCCGGGCCCAACACAACAGATCAGCGAGAGGTTGAGGGGACTCTCGACACCCAAAGCAACATCTGGAGCTTTCCACCTCCTCTCCATGCCCTTTTGCCTGGTCTTCTCAAGAGAGAGACAGAGAGCAAGGGACCGCAAGGAATAAGGGTGAGGGTGACCAAGCGTCTCCCCTGGCAAGGGGCTGGTGTTGTCTCTTCTACCTCCTTTGGGAACTCTCCTCCCCAGAGCCAGCAGCTGAGCCTGGGGCAGCAGCAAACATTTCTCACCTGAAACATCTTGATCATGTCCTCGCAGTTCCGCTGCTGCGCCACGTCGCACAGCTTGGCAGTGATGTCGATGCGGCGGCAGATGTCCATGTCCACCTTCATGGCCTTCTCCTGGATCTTGGTGTCCAGCTCTGTGATGTTCTGAACCCACGGTGCCAAAGGAGGGGGACAAAGAAGGAGGATGAGGCAAGGCAAACGGCAACCAGAGCCCCCACATTCCCTCCTGTGCTGCAGGGCTGCATCTGCAGCCACGCTTTGCTCACTGCACCCTGGACCAACCCTGAGAGACAACCTCTGTGCTGGACATACCCCGCCAAGGAACAGCAGTTCCTTTCTACGCAGCCCCACCACTCAGTAGGACACTGCTACCAGGTCAGAGAGGGGTTAGGAACTCACATTGCTCATCAGCCCCTTGAAGACGACAAGCTCTGCCTTGAGCTGCTCCACCTTCATGGCCAGCTCCTCCTGGCAGGCTTCAGCCTCCTGGGCTTCCTGCCCCAGGGAAGAGGAAAACAGGCAAATCAGTGTCAGTGTGGGGCAACTGGGGTGCAGGGGAAGGGGAGGGGGGACAGTGATGCTCACCTCCTGCAGCTCAGTCACTCGGTCCTGGAGCTGGACACGCACCGTGTACTCCTCTTCCCATCTAGGGAGACAAACACCCTGGTCAGATCCCACCAGCCTCGCCTGGCCGGCTGTGGGAGAGGGGGGAGCAGCAGCTGCTCACCCCAAAGCTATCCAAGAGGGGGTGATGACGGCACCGGGGTGGGAAGGAGAACGTGCCCAGGAATGCATCGCCGCTTGTTTCCAGATGACGGCAGCTGCCAAACTCTTGTCGGTCCTCCCCCCTCCAGCCACAAACCCTGCCCCACCACGCTCCCTGCTGCCCTGGCCACGGGCTGGCTGCCTGCTCTGCCACGGGGGGAGCTGGGGACACCAACCGAAGGCTCCAGGCAGCAGCTGCGTTGCACGCCCTGCCACACTGGGGCTGGTCCATGGTCTGATGCAGCCCAACCAGCCCCTCTCCACCCACCCCCGAGACCCCCTTCGCCTTGGGTCACATTAGGTTCAGCTCCTGTCCTGGTCTGAAGCTCCAACACTCAATAACGGGATTGCATATGTTGCAGAGTTGTCTCCATATGCATCATAACCATGCTACATGCTGACCATGTTAGGACATGAGCGGCCATGATGTGCACCAACATGGGCCCAGGCTCTTTTCAGTGGTGCCCAGGGACAGGACAAAGAGCAATGGGCACAAACTGGAACGCAGGAAGTTCCATCTCAACATAAGGAAAACTTCTTTACTTTGAAGGTGGCACAGCACTGGAACAGACTGCCCAGAGAGGTCGTGGATTCTCCTGCTCTGGAGATACATAAAACCCACCTGGATGCATTCACAGAATCACATGGGGTTGGAAGGGACCTCCGGAGACCATCTAGTTCACCCCACCTGCCAAAGCAGGTCCACCTTGAACAGGTTGCACAGGAACTTTTCCAGGCGTGTTTTGAATGTCTCCAGAGAAGGAGACTCTACCACCTCCCTGAGCAGCCTGTTCCAGGGCTCTGCCACCCTCAAAGTAAAGAAGTTCCTCCTCATGTTTAGGTGGAACTTCTTATATTCAAGTTTGTGCCTGTCTCCTCTTGTACTATCCCTGGCCACCACTGAAAAAAGACCAGTCACATCCTCTTGACACCTTCCCTTTAAGTATTTATAAGCATTGACCAGATCCCCCCAAATTGATCAGATTCCTGACCAGCCCGCTCTAGGTGAACCTGCTTTGGCTGGGGTTGGTGAAGTGTCCCTCTCGCTCCCCTGGGGCACGTGTGGGTCCATGGGAATCCCTGGGTGTTGGGAAGGATGTCCCAGATGACACTCAGCTGAGAGGTCCAGAGCATGAAGCAATGCTGGGGGAGATGCCAGAGGAGTCTGCCCAGAGTGGGACGCTGCCAAGGCATGTGAGGCTAGGGGTCAATGAAAGCCCACCACAAAGGTCCCCAGCCTGGAGCCACTCTGGCTCCACATGCCTGTGGGGACCTATACGATGTTGCTGCACAATGGCAGCTCCACTCTCCATCAGGGGTGTTTGGCTTCACCCGTCAAAAATCACTCCTGTGTGCAGCTCACCTTCTGCAGAGGTAGCACCATGGCCTGCGTGGAGGCTGATCACCAGGAGTCCAACAGCCTCTGGGAACTGCCCTCTACTCCATGCCACACCAGGGCAGGGCAGGAGCACTACCCCGTGCTTCAGCTCCCACTCACCACTGCCCTGGCTCCAGTCCATGCCCAGAGCACGGGTGTCCCACCTCAAGCTCACCTGTCCCCAGACTGCGTGATGAGCCGCCGGCAAGTCTCCATCTGCACATCCAAGCCCCGCTTCATGCTGCACATTTCCATGTATTCGTGCAGGTGCCGGTTCATGTCGTTCTTGGCCGTGGCCAGCTCCAGCTGCACAAGGGAAACAGTGCAGAGATGAGCCCAAGGCTCAGAGCATGGTCATACCCAATGCTGCCACCCCCCAATGACCCCCACCAATGACCTGCACCAGCATGGTATCTCCCTTCCCCAGGGACCCACTCCCCCATTTCACCCCCCTTCCGTGCCATGTCCTCCCCACTTCCTCCTCCCACCTCTATTTGGTCGATGGTTTCCTGGTACTCCTTCTCACGGCTCTTGAACAGCGACTCTGTGTCCTTGATCACCTTCTCCAGGCTGTCGTCCTGCTGTTGGGGAGAGCAGACGGCACGTTTAGAAGCAGGTAAGATGTCCAATATGGGGAACCAAAGAGAGAAACCAGAGAAAGAACTGGCAGCACCAGGAAAAGAGGAAGAAACACGAGCAGTGTAGTCTGAGTGACAAATAAGGCACAAGTCAGTCCTTCCAACACGGGGTAGAGACCCAGGACTCACCCCACTGGGCAATGAGCACGTCAGCCCAGAACAAGCCCTGCAATGCACAGAAGCTTTGGAGAGTGCAGACTGTCCCCAAGTGCAACATGTCTCCAGGGGGATTGCTGAGGGCCAAAGATGCAGGATGGCAGGGCCTTTGGCCAGACATTGAGGCCTCTGTTTGGGCAATGTTGCTGCACAGTGGGCAGGTGGGCTGGAGAGCCCAAACAAGGGACCACCAGAGCCCAGCCCAGCCAGAGGAGGTCTTCTCTTGTGGGAGGGCTGCAGCTGGAAACGGCACCTCTCCACACATGTGCGGGCTGTGCCCTCCACATGCCTTTCAGGCTGGAGGACTTTGGTCTGTCTAACAAGGAGACCTTTGTGAGGATGTAGTAACATATTTACATAGGGGTGGCTGGAGGGAAGCATCTGTACAGGTCTGCAAGGGATGGAGAGGCTGAAGTCTGGTCGTTGAGGAAGCATCTTCCCAGGCTCCCAGGCCGAGTGTCCCAACCCAGGGCTGGATCCCCGAGGGGACCTGACACCACCTTTACCTCCCCCTGCACCTCCGCGGCTGCAATGGCGTATCCGGAGAAGTCCTCCCAGAGGAGCAGCGTTTCTTCTGTCTCCTCCCACGTGAGGCTGTCACAGTCATCCTCAAAGTCATACTCCCTCCTGGGGGCAAGGGAACAGCGTATCAGCACCCAGCAGCAAAAATCTGGGGGGCAGGGGGGGCTGTGCCAGTGCCGAAAGCCTTGCAGGGCTGCAGCTTTTGGAGGTTTGGTTGGGTGAGCTCAAGTGTGCCCAAACCCAACGGCTGGTGGGGAAGGGGCTGGGGAAAGAGTCAGGAGCCCCCGCGAATTCAGGCAGTGGCTCCCAAAAAGCAGAAAGGGGAGCTGGATCGACTCCCACCTACAACTCGGGTGGGCTCAGGCATCCCAGGGGGGCAGCCCCACCGTGCCACAGATGCCAGGGTGTAAGCACCCTGCAGCAGCAGCTCCCATCTCACCCCTTCCCCCGGGGAAGGAGAGCCCACCCTTGTCCTCCCCACCCCGGGTGCTGGCAGGGAGCCTGGTGCCGGCGGCAGAGGTGCGGAGCGGCCGCACTCACAGCTGGTTCAGCATCCTCTGCATTTCCTCATTGATACTCATGGCCGTGGTCTCGTCCTCCTCTTCCTCTTCAGGTTTTCGGGAGGCATCGCTCTCCGACAGCGAGGTATCTTCGTCGCTGACCTGCTTCCTCTCCCGCTTCCGCCCCACCGAGGCTGGGACCTTAACGGGAGACAAGTGCAGAGACTACAGAAACGAGGCCGGGTCCGAGGTGGGGAGCAGGGAGTTGGGAGGAGATGGAGGGGGAAGGAACGGTGGAGGGACAGAAAAGGTGGGGAAAAGAGAGAAAGAGAGAGAAAGAAAGGAAGGAAGGAAGAAAGCAAGAGAGAGAGAGAGAGAGAGAGATGGGCTCATTATGATCAGGTTAAAGATGGTGCAATGGATAAAACATGGTCTTAGCATTTTCTAAAATTAAAACTAAGCAACTAAAGATGGAGTCTGTGAATCTGATGAGGAAAAAAAAAAAACAACGCGGTTTTACTGCAGAAAAAACTCAAATCGCCCACCACCCCAGTCCAGAGACAGGGAAACACAGCGACAGAAACAGGAAAAAAGAGACAAGAGGCTGAAAAAGGTGAAATATGTCAATATTTACAGTCCGACCTTATTTATAGAAAGTTTAAAATTTATACACTTTCTCAACTGAATGGAACTAACCAGTTGCTTCTGTGGGGACAAAGAGAGCGAGACAGAAAGGCAGTGACATCCAGAAAGAGAAGAGAGACACAGAAAGAGAAGAGAGACAGAGAGAAGATGACGGAGAGGGGAAGGGGAAGGAGAGAGATGGAATTAGAGACAGACACTCAGGCAACTTGTCTCCCTCCTGCAGCTGCTCCCCTACCACTGTGGGGTCCCCGGGCCCAACACAACAGATCAGCGAGAGGTTGAGGGGACTCTCGACACCCAAAGCAACATCTGGAGCTTTCCACCTCCTCTCCATGCCCTTTTGCCTGGTCTTCTCAAGAGAGAGACAGAGAGCAAGGGACCGCAAGGAATAAGGGTGAGGGTGACCAAGCGTCTCCCCTGGCAAGGGGCTGGTGTTGTCTCTTCTACCTCCTTTGGGAACTCTCCTCCCCAGAGCCAGCAGCTGAGCCTGGGGCAGCAGCAAACATTTCTCACCTGAAACATCTTGATCATGTCCTCGCAGTTCCGCTGCTGCGCCACGTCGCACAGCTTGGCAGTGATGTCGATGCGGCGGCAGATGTCCATGTCCACCTTCATGGCCTTCTCCTGGATCTTGGTGTCCAGCTCTGTGATGTTCTGAACCCACGGTGCCAAAGGAGGGGGACAAAGAAGGAGGATGAGGCAAGGCAAACGGCAACCAGAGCCCCCACATTCCCTCCTGTGCTGCAGGGCTGCATCTGCAGCCACGCTTTGCTCACTGCACCCTGGACCAACCCTGAGAGACAACCTCTGTGCTGGACATACCCCGCCAAGGAACAGCAGTTCCTTTCTACGCAGCCCCACCACTCAGTAGGACACTGCTACCAGGTCAGAGAGGGGTTAGGAACTCACATTGCTCATCAGCCCCTTGAAGACGACAAGCTCTGCCTTGAGCTGCTCCACCTTCATGGCCAGCTCCTCCTGGCAGGCTTCAGCCTCCTGGGCTTCCTGCCCCAGGGAAGAGGAAAACAGGCAAATCAGTGTCAGTGTGGGGCAACTGGGGTGCAGGGGAAGGGGAGGGGGGACAGTGATGCTCACCTCCTGCAGCTCAGTCACTCGGTCCTGGAGCTGGACACGCACCGTGTACTCCTCTTCCCATCTAGGGAGACAAACACCCTGGTCAGATCCCACCAGCCTCGCCTGGCCGGCTGTGGGAGAGGGGGGAGCAGCAGCTGCTCACCCCAAAGCTATCCAAGAGGGGGTGATGACGGCACCGGGGTGGGAAGGAGAACGTGCCCAGGAATGCATCGCCGCTTGTTTCCAGATGACGGCAGCTGCCAAACTCTTGTCGGTCCTCCCCCCTCCAGCCACAAACCCTGCCCCACCACGCTCCCTGCTGCCCTGGCCACGGGCTGGCTGCCTGCTCTGCCACGGGGGGAGCTGGGGACACCAACCGAAGGCTCCAGGCAGCAGCTGCGTTGCACGCCCTGCCACACTGGGGCTGGTCCATGGTCTGATGCAGCCCAACCAGCCCCTCTCCACCCACCCCCGAGACCCCCTTCGCCTTGGGTCACATTAGGTTCAGCTCCTGTCCTGGTCTGAAGCTCCAACACTCAATAACGGGATTGCATATGTTGCAGAGTTGTCTCCATATGCATCATAACCATGCTACATGCTGACCATGTTAGGACATGAGCGGCCATGATGTGCACCAACATGGGCCCAGGCTCTTTTCAGTGGTGCCCAGGGACAGGACAAAGAGCAATGGGCACAAACTGGAACGCAGGAAGTTCCATCTCAACATAAGGAAAACTTCTTTACTTTGAAGGTGGCACAGCACTGGAACAGACTGCCCAGAGAGGTCGTGGATTCTCCTGCTCTGGAGATACATAAAACCCACCTGGATGCATTCACAGAATCACATGGGGTTGGAAGGGACCTCCGGAGACCATCTAGTTCACCCCACCTGCCAAAGCAGGTCCACCTTGAACAGGTTGCACAGGAACTTTTCCAGGCGTGTTTTGAATGTCTCCAGAGAAGGAGACTCTACCACCTCCCTGAGCAGCCTGTTCCAGGGCTCTGCCACCCTCAAAGTAAAGAAGTTCCTCCTCATGTTTAGGTGGAACTTCTTATATTCAAGTTTGTGCCTGTCTCCTCTTGTACTATCCCTGGCCACCACTGAAAAAAGACCAGTCACATCCTCTTGACACCTTCCCTTTAAGTATTTATAAGCATTGACCAGATCCCCCCAAATTGATCAGATTCCTGACCAGCCCGCTCTAGGTGAACCTGCTTTGGCTGGGGTTGGGGGGTGGTGGACTAGATGATGTCCAAAGATCCCTTCCAACCTACCATTCTGTGATTCTTCTGCCTGTACCAATGCAGAGGACTTCCCTGCGCTGGGCTACGCTACCCAGGCATGGGCTAGAAGTCTCCTCAGCTGTACTGCTGTGTAACAAGTTGGATTAAAAAAAACAACCCCATTGTTTTGTCCTTTGAGGAAGCAGGATCGCGATTTATGCCAGGTTGGACAGTGGGCACTGTGTCAGGCTCTGCAGCTGTGCAAAAAGCTGAGCTGCAAGGTGCCCGGCCTTGCTATACAAAGACACGTCACCTGGCAATTATTATATTATATTTCACTGCCATGAGATCATCGTCTTGGGCAACGCTGCGGTGTTGGCCCCGGCCACAGTCTGCTGGGAGGCCACCAGGCTGTACTGCTCTTTGCTAAATGGCTACCCCATACTGCAGAGGGGTTGGCAGGCACGGCACGGCGGTGCGGCACGGGGCAGGGCTTGCTGCATTCTTACCCGGCTCCTAGCTCTTCTGGGAGAGCCAGATTTCTCTGAGAAAGCGGGATTTCTCCGGGAAAGCAACCAGAGCTGGGCCCTGCCCTGGGTGCTGTGGTCTCCGGTTTCTATTTAATGCTTGCAAGCAACAACACAAGCGCTGTGACCCTGCACGAGGGCGTGAAAAAAATCTCCTCTGGCTTACTCACACCGAGTTTGAAAAATGAATTCCAAAGTCTAGGAGACCAGAAGGCACATGAAAAGCCCTCACACTTGTTATTGCAGGGTATCAAGACAACGTGCTGACGTGGGAGAAGTCCTGGCTTATGAATTTCTAGGCTCTTAAACTTGGCAACACTTCGCCTTTACTCAAAACAGGGAGAAAATGTGCAGTCCTCGTGTTGGTGTTGGCTCCATCCTGCAGCTACGGAAGGGGAGTCAAGGGGGGTTCCCATCCCTTTGAGGGAAGAGGAAGACGAAGAGAGCGGGAAGGAGAAAGTTAAAAGGTAGAATTGCCCTTATATGGGAACTATTCAAACAAGGCCTCCCTCCCCGGGGAGAAAAACGCCTTCCACCACAAGAAAAAATTTTCAGCATCTTTCTCGGCGTGGTGTGTCCTCTGTTTTTTAGTCCCCGCCTCCCTCCGGGTCTCTATAGAGCCCGGACTCCCTGGGGAAGTAAAGCACAGCTGAAAATCCTCGGAAGAATTAATTTCACGCCGATGCTAGGGAAGAGGAGGACAGACCAGCTGAAACGCTGATTTAAAGGCAGGAGGCCACAGGGGTTCGCCCCTTAAGTGATGAAATCTGCGTGCCCATCCCTTAGGAACCCCCTCTCCTGCTCACCTCCTGCCTGGCTCCTTCTTCCCTGCTCCCTCCTGCAATGCACCACTCCTAATAATAACCTGCCTGCGGCGCGGCACGGCACCCGCTGCCAGGTCACCGCCGGCTGGAAGCAAGGCTGCCCCACACAACCCCACACACGCCCAGGGGAGAAGGGCTCCCAAAGGCTGAAAGGCAGGAGAAGGCAGAGAAGCGAAGGTAAGAGGGTCCCAGCATCAGGCAGACCCCACTTATCTCCTTTGCTGGCTATGGGGCAACCTTCCCAAAGCTGGGGAGGTGACACGGTGCAGTGCTGTCCCTACAGACCTTCCCCCTCCTCCCGGTGTGTCCCCTCCAGAAGTTCACTTAGCAAAATAAACCACCACCCCCATCTCTTTAAAACTCCTGTTTACTGCAAAAGGCATCGGGGTGCCCTTACCCTGCACGACACACAGGTGCTGTGCAGGAGAAGGCAGAGAAGCGAAGGTAAGAGGGTCCCAGCATCAGGCAGACCCCACTTATCTCCTTTGCTGGCTATGGGGCAACCTTCCCAAAGCTGGGGAGGTGACACGGTGCAGTGCTGTCCCTACAGACCTTCCCCCTCCTCCCGGTGTGTCCCCTCCAGAAGTTCACTTAGCAAAATAAACAACCACCACCCATCTCTTTAAAACTCCTGTTTACTGCAAAAGGCACTGGGGTGTCCTCACCCTGCACGACACACGGGTGCTGCGGGGCATCCTCTGGGCTGCCCAGGGACTGCAAGTTTCCCCCTCTGGCCATGTTTGAGCTTCACCTTCATGGTGAATGCCCTGCAGCCTGGTCCGCAGCCTCGGAGGGCAATTACAACAAGAAAATACCTTCTTTCGGCCTTTCCATCCATAAAGGAGGCTTATAAGAAGGATGAGGAGAGACTTTTTACCAGGGCCTGTAGTCACAGGACAAGGAGCCATGGTTTTAAACCGTTACCAGGGCCTGTAGTGACAGGACAAGGAGCCACGGTTTTAAACCATGGGGTAGATTTAGATTGGACATAAAGAAGAATTTTTTTTATGATGAGGGTGGTAAGACACTTGGAGCGGGTTGCCCATAGAAGTTGTGGGTGCCCCATCATTGGAAGCATTCAAGGTCAGGGCTTTGAGCAACTTCATCTAGTGAGACCCCATGGCAGGGGGTTGAACTACACGATCCTGAAAGGTCCCTTCCAGCCCAAACCATTCTGTGACTCCCACAACACTGCTCACCCCACACCTCCAGGGTTACCTTCGCAGCATCCCAGGCAAAAACTACTTGGGAAAATGGATGTAGCAGACAGCAAGAACTAAGTTGTGGGTGCCCCATCATTGGAAGCATTCAAGGTCAGGGCTTTGAGCAACTTCATCTAGTGAGACCCCATGGCAGGGGGTTGAACTACACGATCCTGAAAGGTCCCTTCCAGCCCAAACCATTCTGTGACTCCCACAACACTGCTCACCCCACACCTCCAGGGTTACCTTTGCAGCATCCAAGGTAAAAACTACTTGGGAAAACAGATAGCAGACAGCAAGAACCTGATGAGGCTCTCGGATCCCCAGCACTTGGTGGGTCTGTACCCTACTCGCAGGCACCCTTTGCCCCTCTCCAGGCCACCTAGTCTCAGCCTGCTCCTCCCGAGTGCAGCTCCTGCGAGCCGCTCTCCTGCTGCTGCATCTCCTCTCATCCCTCCCTGTTGCCCCCCCAGCCCTCCTCCTTGATGAGGCTCTCGGATCCCCAGCACTTGGTGGGTCTGTACCCTACTTGCAGGCACCCTTTGCCCCTCTCCAGGCCACCTAGTCTCAGCCTGCTCCTCCCGAGTGCAGCTCCTGCGAGCCGCTCTCCTGCTGCTGCATCTCCTCTCATCCCTCCCTGTTGCCCCCCCAGCCCTCCTCGATCCCAGAGTTGAATTTCAGGCCCTGCACATCCAGAGAGAAGCTCCTCCTGCTCCACTGCTCTGAGTGCCATGGGGGTGCATGGTGGCAACGATGCCTTGAAGAAAACACAACCTCAAGCACCCAAAGCCACGGGTCAGAGAAGCAGGAATCCCTGTGTTAACACAGTCTCTCCCCTCTGCCCCCAGGCAGGTGGCAAGGGATGACACTGACCGCACTTGTCCCCATGGCAGATCAGAGCCCGCCATGGCAGGGAGGTCTCTGCTCCCAGGGGATGTTGGTGTCAGCCCTCAGCCTGGGGAAGGGTGTGGAAATGGGATCCTCCTGTCCCGTCCCCCTCTTTGGGACCTGGCTGCACCCGTCAGAAAGTTCCCGGTGCTGGAAAGGGTCTGGGGGTGGGGTCTTGCTTTCCCCCAGCTCCTGGTAACACAGTCCAAAAATAGATTCCCACCGACAACATTGGCCCGCAGCAGCCCACGGTGCCCCCCTGCCTGCCCCACAGCGTGTCCCCACTCCCTCCATCGCCCCCCTTCCAGCCTTCCCCAAAGCCCACCTGCCAGAGCGGGACAACCCTGAGAAGCTCTCCTTCCTCCCAAAGTTTCAGCAGCACCCACAAACCCAACTTGGTCCCCTCTGGCTGACCCGCTTCGAGCAGGTGAGATTCGAGCCCTCTGGGCAAAAAAAGGTGGGTCCAGCTCCCCACTATCTGATCCGAAAACGCAAGGCAAGGAGAGCTGCCTGGAGCTGGAGAAGGACCCCGACCAAACCCCCCTTGGCTTAATAATCAAAGGCTTTAGGGACATGCAGCAACCGGTGGGAAAGGAGAGGTGCCACCTCCCTCTTCCCACATGTCCAGCTCGGTGCCTTCAGAGCATCCCCACGGGCAAATCTGCTCAGCCAAAGCCTTATAAAGCCAAAAACATAAGCTGTCCTCTTGGATCCCCAGCCTTGATCTTGACACCGGAGCCCACAGCTGTGAAGCACAGGTCGGGGGGGGCAGCTCCAGCGGGCAGCACGCCCCACTTTCCTCCTTTGGGTACACAACTCTTTACTTTCCAAAGTGCTTCTAGAGCATCGTAAAGTTACTTTTCTTCCGCAAAATAAATCGGTTGGGTGGTGTCGGCCCCGCTCTGCCACGCGCCCTCACCCCAGTGACGCCAGCCCCCGCTGCCTGATCTCATCCTACGTGTGGATCCGGGAGCAGCCTCGGAAACTGGCCCCAGACAAAAAAAGTGTCGCCGGCACCAGGCGAGAGCGGTGGCAGCGACCGCCCCGTACGGGGAAAGAAGAACTGTCCCGAGAGATTAGCTTTGCCGAGCTGCTGAGCTTCTCCCAGGCACATGCCGAGCCGCAGCTATTTTGGGTGGGGAGGAAAGCCCCCGAGGAGTGGGGTGTTCCCACTGAGGCGCCGGCCGGGAGAGAGCTGGGGAGGGAAAAGGCCCAGGGGAGCTGGTGGCACTGCCGAGGGGCTTCTAAGCACCTTCCGACACAGCCAGAGAGTTTTCCTCCTTCCAGCAGCCTTTTCCCACCCAAACCCTCTCACTGCTGCATGTTCACCTTCCTCACCTACTTTCCAGCTGCTTCTCCTTCCCAAGTGCTTCCAGATCCCCCTCCCCTTTAAAACACCACCTCTTGGAGTCATGGTATTTCTTCCCTGCTTGGAAAAGCACGTCTAGCCCCTCGCCCTGGGTTGATAAGAGGGGGGGGAAGGCGCAGGGGAGCATCCCCAGGGAGAGTTCAAGCACCCGGAGGCGAGTGAGGAGACCCAGATTTAGAGGAATGCTTTCAGGGGTCCACGTTTTTTTGCCTTACAACCACAGCTCACGCTGGTGGGGGATCCCAGCAAGTTAGGGGAAGGATCCCTCTTCCCCTTGGCACGGCCGGGCAGAGCCCTGCAGCCACCCCGGCGACGGTGGCGGTCCCTCGGGGGGGACGGACCCCTCTCTCCCCGCCGCCCCTTCTCACCTGCGCTTGTACTCGTCCCGCTCCCTCTTCACCTTGGCCAGCACGTTGTAGAGGGCCCGGATCTCCGGGGTGATGGTGTCGATCTGGACCCCTACCCCGTCCGGGTGGACCCAGGAGACCCCCGGTCCTTGCACCAAAGTGGTCTCCGGTCCCGGGCCCAGCCGTCGGGCTTGAGAGAAGGACCAGATGGTGCCGGGCATGAAGCGGGAGGCGGCCGGGAAGGGGGGAGGCGGCGGCTGCGCTTGGGTGGGGGCACCGGGACGGCAACCGGGGGAACCCAGCGCCCGGGCCGGCCCCAGCCCCAACCCCAACCCCAAACCCAGCCCCAAAGTGCGGATGGGACCGACGAAGCCGGTTTGTACCGCCTGGTCGCGGCGCGGGGGTCCTCGGCCCCGGCCTCCTTCCTCCAGCGCCTGCTGCAGCTGCTTCTCCAGCTGCCGGTTGCGCCGCTCCAGCTCATGGACCTTGGCCAGGAAGCAGCGGAACCGCAGGTTCAGCGTCTTCAGGACGCTGATGTTGGAGCCCAGGTCGTTGCGGAGGGCCATGGCGGCGGGCGGCGCGGGGAAAGGGCCGGTGGGCGGCGGGGCGGCCAGGTCAACCCCGAGGGGCTCAGCCGGGCGGGGAGCGGAGGGCGGCGGCGGCGGGTCGGGGCCCGGCAGCCGCGGCGGCGGGGAGGGAGGGAGAGGCGCTCCCCCCCGGCCCCGGGCAGAGGAGGGGACAAGGAAGAAACAGGAGGGGACAAGGAGCTAAACCTCCCCTTTCCTCTCCCGGCCCCCCGCCCCGGGTGCGGGGGGAGGCGGCTGGGTTTCCCCCCGCCCCGCTCCGGCGGGTTTTCGGGGCTCCCCCCGACGCAAAGGGATGGAGGACGGGCGGTCCGGAGGTATCCCTCCCGCAGCCCCGGGGAGGGTCCTCTCTCCCGCATCCCGCCGGACGCCGATTCCCGTCATCTCATCAACCCAGCACAGCCTTTAGTGCTCTTTTTTTATATATATATATATTTTTTTTTTCCATAGCTTTTAGTGCTTTCCCAGGTGCTGCCGCCTTTAAAAGCGGTGTAACGTCCCCTCTGCACCCCCGGAGCCCCCGCGTTATCCTTCCTTGTGCCCCCCCAGCTCCTAAGGCAGCCCCCGCACACGGGGAGCCAGACAATGGCGAGGCAGAGGAGGTTGGTGTGGAGGCAGCCAGCCTCTCAAATACCGTGCTGGGCTTGTGACCGGCTTTATTTTCCCTCTTCATTGTTCACCAAGCGGCACCGGGTCTTGTTTCCTGCCTTCCTTAGGTCTTTTCCTACAGCCCCCCCCCCCGGGCAATGCTGCCAGAAGGCCTGGTGTGGTCCCTTATGCCCCTTATCTGCTGGGATCAATCGATCAATACATAAACATTGATGGGTGTGGGCACCTGTGTTACCTTGCTGTCTCATGGCCAGTTCCCCCAGGACTTCCACTGGCACAGACCAGCCTCCGAGATCTCAGCACATCCCATTTAGCAAGGGCTGAGTGTGCAACAGGTCTTGAGTGTGCCCGGCACCCACGCCACACTGAGCTCTGTCTGCCACAGGAGGTGGGCAGGCGCCAGCCGGGTGCTGTGCTGCAGCCCTTCCCTTGGGATCTGGGGGGATGGAGCAGTCCACGCTTCCAGAAGCTTCCCAGACCCGCTGAGGATGGCCAGCTTCGTTAGTCTTGACTAGGAATCTGCCTATTGCATTTCCCCCCTGCTGCCTCTTCTCCAGACCTACAGGGTTCCTTTCCACTCTTCTGATTCCCTTGCCTGGGAGCAGACTTAATCAAATTTGTTCCTTTCTGTTGCCTTGCTGTGTCCAGCATCAGGTTTCTTCCTGTGATCTGCCTGTCTCCCCCATCCTGCCTGCAACTCTGGGCTCCCCACAGCAGCCCCCATTTGCATTTACAACATCTCCTCTCCCATCAGCAGCCTGGCACACCCATGACTGTTAGAAGTCAATACTGGATTCCAGTCCCTCCCATATGTGCTTAGGGTGGGAAATGAAATGAGCTTTCCTTCTGTCACCTCCTTTTTAGCATTTTCCTTCTTCTATCATCTTCTTTTCCTTCCCTTGCTCTGCCTCTGAACGGAGAGGCTGAGCCGTGGCGAGCAGTGCTTTTGTCAAGGCAGAGGAAGGCAGGAAGGCTTTCCTCAAGTGCTTAGGAGATCCCTGCCTTCCAAAAACCCTCAGCTGCAACAGCATGAGCAGCTGGTAGGCAGCCACATGCCCAGCAGCAGTACTACCCAACAAACAGGCAGGGAAAAGGGAAGGACAGATGGACAAGAGGGATCCCAGTCACGAAGCTTGTTTCATAGAATCATAGAATGGTTAGTGTTGGAAGGGACCTCAAAGATCATCTAGTTCCAACCCCCCTGCCATGGGCAGGGACACCTCCCACCAGACCAGGTTGCTCAAAGCCCCATCCAGCCTGGCCTTGAACACCTCCAGGGATGGGGCATCCACAACTTCCCTGGGCAACCTGTTCCAGTGTCTCACCACCCTCATAGTAAAAAATTTCTTCCTGATATCTAATCTGAATTTTTTTTCTTCCAATTTAAAACCGTTTTCCCTTGTCCTATCATTACCCTTCCTGGCAAAGAGTCCCTCCCCAGCTCTTCTATAGGCACCCTTCAGATATTGAAAGGCCGCTATAAGGTCTCCCTGGAGCCTTCTCTTCTCCAGGCTGAACAATCCCAGCTCCCTCAGCCTGTCTTCACAGGAGAGGTGCTCCAGCCCTCTGATCATCTTCGTGGCCCTCCGCTGCACCTGTTCCAGCTGGTCCATGTCCTTTCTGTGTTGAGGACTCCAAAGCTGTACACAGTATTCCAGGTGGGGTCTCATGAGTGCAGTTTCGAAGCAGCGGTGGCAGCTCCTGCTTGGAGACCTCCCAGCACGTGCCCTGGAAGCCATCGCTGCCTCTGAGATCTCAGCTGAGCCTGCTGTCATGTCCAGCAACACAGGTTTTTTGCCTTTCCCCCCTCACATACCCCTAATTTTAACCCCCCCATACCTGCCAGCCTGTTTGCCACCCCTGCAGCCAGCGGGGAACGCAGGCACGAGCGACACCACAAACCCTGGAGCAAGCGTGTTCCTGAGCTCTGCTTCTGTCCCGCTGGGGAAAGCTGGCCAGCAGAGCTGATTAATGGAATGCCAGCGGAGGAAGGCATCGCCATCCATCAGGAAAAGGCCAGCGCAGCACTGGAGCAGGTGGCGGGATCTCCAGCCTTGGTGGTTCTCAGGACTCAGCTACACCAAGCCACAGTGATATGACCTAGTGCTGGGCCAGTCCTGCTTCCAGCATCTCCAGCACCTCTTCCCACCACCGTGCCTGCTGTCTCCTGGAGAGGACAGGGCAGCAGGGAGTCTCCTTTTTTTTCCTAGCTTCCCTTACTTGGGATACTTGTTGGGATAAAGGATATCTCCTAACACAGTAGATGGCTGGGGCAAAGGGCCAACATCTTCTAGTAACTCCTGAGGAAGCCCAGAGCCTAGAAACAATCCTTTCTACCCAGGGGACCACAATGCTCCTCCTCTAGGCCCTTGGTTTCAACCTCACCCCAGCACAACAGCTCCTCCTCCTCCTCATCTTCCCTTCTTGGTTCAGCAAAACCTTCTCCAGACCCTCCCATAGCTCCTGCCCTGAGTTTATCAGCTCAGGCTCAGCAGTGGGGACTGCTGGAACCCCCCTGCTGACATGCAGAACTGCTTGCTACACCTCACCACACCTCATAAAATTGTACCTATAGCTAATGTAAAACCAGGCACTTACAAGCGTGCTGATATTTATCTTACTTCCACAGATTTTGAGACTCTGAGAAAGAAGCGCTGCATTTTCTGACCCCCTGGAGAACACAAAGTGCAAATTTTGTGGCTCAAGCCAGGTACTCGTGTTGGACTGTGTCTCTAGTTGCTGACAGCATGGTAAAAATAGATTGAGCCTCTACCCTTACCCTTTATAGGCAAATCAAAGTAGATTCCCCAGGTGGCTAATCACCTATTAAAATCATGTGCCTTGCCTCTCATTTGAATTCACGTAGCTCCAACATCCATTGCCAGTTTGAGATGCTCCCCCTCTCCCAGGTCACAGAACCTCTCGCTTGCTAACACATCCTCCTTGCAAAGGTGCTTCAGAGGTGAAACCTCTTCTAATTAGCTCCACAGCTGTCCTCGAGGCCCTTTTTTTTTAAGGTGTAGGTTATATTGGTGTGTGTATACCCCACCTCTCATCCCTCCTTCCCTCTGAGTACCCCAGCGTTACCTTCTCCCTTGCACCACCCTGCTGGAACATTTCACAGAATCTTCTAGGTCGGAAGGGACCTTAAAGATCATCTTGTCCAACCATCAACCTAACTGACAAAAATAGACACCCGCACAACAAACAAGAAGCATCACCATCACTAAACCATACCTCCCAGCACTACATCAGCCTGTCTTTTGAACACCTCCAGGGATGTCAGCTCCCCAAGCCTTCCGACTTCCAGGATGCTTCACTGAAACCGACCCCTAAAATTGCTTCTGTCCACGACCAGAGGCAGGTGCTGCAATGAACACACAACTTTTGGGCACCTCGCTGCCCAGCAAAGCCGGCAGCCCAGAGTAGGCTGCCTACATTTGGGTGTGAATGGGAAGAAATTGGCATGGAGGAGCAGCTGCCAAAAGAAGCTGGGTGATCACCACACTAACCAACGCACAGAAATGTCCCTTTCTAACAGCAAAGGGCAGAAGGGATTTTCTTTTAAAAAAAAGATCCAAAACACCAGTCCAGGAGGGAGTTTTGTAGCCAGGTCTTGCATGAGAAGGCACCTCCAGGTGCTACAGCCAAGAGGCAAGGTCCTAACTGACCTTACTCTTCCCAGCAATTCCCCATTGACTACAGCAGGCAGGTGGGACTAGGAGACATCCTCTCTGGGGGCTCTCCACAGCCTCCCTAGCAGGGATGGACAGCTTTGGGGAGGGGAGTGGGGGTGGCAAAACCTACTGATGTGAGTGTGGTCCTTTGTGGACTCAGTCCCTAGAAAAGTGTATGTATCTATGGGGTTACGTGCAGCAGAGCGCGTGCTCAAGGGTCTAAATTTTATACCCAGGTCCCCGAGATGTGCAGAGCAGGGTTTCAGTCCCTTCCTCTGGAGACAGCCTGACACGAGACAACGCAACGGCGGGCTGCCCAGCCAGCAGGGAACAGACATTACAGCACATGACATCACTGGAATTAGTGACCGATCCGCACTGCTCTTGGAGCCTCTTCTCTCTCTGTGGTGCACTGTTGTCCCCAGAAGCCTTCAGTTTCCTTCCTCCGCAGCATCCTACCTCTCCCTCCCACTTTGCAGAGGTGAGCTGGCAGCACTCCAGAGCCTGGCAGGCCTTAATTGCACCCTGATAAGGCTTCTCCGATAAATTCCTTCCTCTCTGTTTGGAGAAAAGGGTTTGAAGAATCCCCACTGAATTCAAGATCTTACTGGGTGCGTGATAGTTCTCCCACTGCACTGGCAGCCATTAACACAGAACCTGATGATCAGAGAGGGCTGGAGCACCTCTGCCATGAGGACAGGCTGAGGGAGCTGGGGTTGTTCAGCCTGGAGAAGAGAAGGCTCCAGGGAGACCTTATAGCAGCCTTCCAGTACCTGAAGGGAGCTACAGGAGAGATGGGGAGGGACTCTTTGTCAGGAAGTGCAG